TATTGTTATGTAACATCACGCCTTTTATTTCCGACGGGATAGGCCGAGATATTACGGCGCTTAATACCTCTGTACAATGTACCTCTAACTTTTCACTATTTACATTATGAGTCCCATGTAATAGCTTATAGCCACATACCACACAACGTTTGCAAATTTCGTGCAGCTACTGAGATTTTAAAAAATCCTAGTATATACCTAACCCTGATATCGAACCCAAGACCCCTTGCCCGGCAGTCGCAGTCAGTCGCTTATGATATAAATGCGAAAGTTTATGGGTTGTGTGTATATTAGTTACTCAATCACGCATAATAGCTGAAGGGATTTGAAAGAAATTTGAAATAGGGGTAGACTATGGTCTGGAATAACATTTTAATAATGGGAACGCGGGTGAAGCCTTTAGCAGAAGTTAGTCGTTTCATGTAGGTAAATTAAAATTGCCTCCACAAGACACCATTACCTTGACTTCTCAGTTGGTTCAGTGGTTCTGCAACCAACCAGCTACTGCGCGACATGTCACAGATCCAATTCCAGCACGAAACAATACTTTGTCATGATCCACAAGTTGTTAATCCGCATCCAAATGTGATGTATTTGTTACATATCGGTGCCAAAACATGTACCTACACCGTGATCAAACGCCCGGGTGTCATCACTGCGAGGACCGCCCTGAGGACACGGTGAAACACATAGTGGGAGAATGCCCTGCGTGGGCTGAGCACCGCCGTGCCCTCAGGGAAGTTATCGGGCCGGGCCGGGCCGTCCGGGCCTAGTGCAGGCCATGATGCGGAGCGAGGGGGACTGGGATGCCGTCTCCTCCTTTTGCGAAGCAGTCATGCTAGCTAAGGAGGAGGCGGGACGCGTGAGGCAGCGAAGCGCTGCCGGCGGCGGGAGCAGACATTCGATGATTTTCCCCCCTTAAAAAAAAACACCGTGATCAACGCCGTGTCATCAGGACATTACACCTACTTTGATGCAACGAAGGTTCTACGGAGTATTGCAACATTCGAACTGCTGAGTCGTCTCCTCTTGTGCCCAGCTATGAATCGCTACATCATCGATCACCCCAATAGATTTAACCTCAATAAAAACTTCATACTAATTTTATCACTACATAGTATGAAACTAAGTCCCTATCCGCCGTCTGTCTGTCCCTATGTATGCTTAGATCTTTTAAACTACGCAACGGATTTTGATGCGGTTTTTTTAAATAGATAGAATTCTTCATAAGGAAGGTTTATATGTATCATACGTGCATATTGCACTCGTGGGAAGCCGGGCGAATAAATAATTTTAAGATAAGAAAGCAGTGTTGCGACAACATCGAACTCTCTTAGTTTAGTTAGATTTTAGGAGTTATCATGTTATTTTAATTATAATAAACTTATTAACATAATTATAGTTTCCATTTGCACCCTCTGTCCGTGGCAGAAACTTAACATATTTGTGAATTTGTAGTTTTATAAACGCACCTACCACTCGAAAGAGATCTCTAGTCGTGATTAACTCAAAACTGAAACATTCAAAGCTTTTTTACAACTTAATTATTATTTTTAATATATTATCATGAACTGAATAATCCCTGAAAATTATTCAGCCAGCATTATCTACAAAAAGGCTGAATGACTTGGATTAAATTCAAAATGCTTTTGTGTCCTTTCGTACCGTGTTTCATTAAATGATTTCCGTTGATGAAATTTATTAATCTTCGCGTATTGGTTGCCTGTAGGACTATAATAATATCCAGATTGCAGTTAATTAATTATTTTATATGAGGATTCATAATTGAGTAACAGGATTTTGGTCATAGTTTCAGGGTACCTATGTTAAATTACTCATTATTCATACATTGTTGAATAACGAGAAAATGAAGTATTTTACATGTGGTTAAATAGTTAATTCTATCTCTAAACATAAAATTAGTTTGAAGCGTATTTGCCATACCACCTGGTATCGTGTTTAAAGCCTTTTGAAATAAATTTTCAATAGCTGCACGCATTGTATTATAGATTATTATTGTAGATACGATAAATTACATTTAATACACGCTTTTATTTATTTCGAAACAATATATTGAATAATAATCATATTTGGTATATTTTTACGCCTTAATAATTTGCCATAGCAATCCCCCAAACAGCGTATCACTATACAAAATAAAACATTTATGTAGCTTGGCAAATGTGATAATATTGTGACTAGCGAAAATATTTTATATTTAGCACGTTCATTAAAAAGTAAATTTGCAAAAGTAATATCAAATAAAAGGTGTTATAGGTAAATACTGATCATTAGAGCGTACTTTGTGAACTCGAAAATTCTTAATGAGTTCCAAATAATTAAGATGGTAGGTACTCAAAAGCGAACACGCTAAAGAATGGATAAGAATGTCGGAGGAGTGTGCACGATCAAAGAATGATTCCGTGAACCAACTTTGAATCTCTCTAATTGGTATAATCCCTTTCGCCCTATGTACGTATTCTAGTCGAAGCGCCTCTCCTGCAGTCAAGACGTTCATATCAACAAAAGAATGTTCTCTTATTTTCAAGTAGTTTACTTGAATGAGCAATAAAAATAGATATTCTACTTTCTTTGATAAATATAGAACAGTTGTACGAGCGCCTGTCGGAATTGGTATAGCAATCTACATTACTACCAGTACAAGCCAGGTAGGTAGTACAAATTGATCTAGTAATTTTGTTTAGGGCTTAAAGATTATATTCGATTTTATAATAAAACTGTAAATTCTCTTGTTAAACTTGAATCAAGAGAAACTGTCTACTTACCACCCTCGAACTACAAAACTTGGTCATCTCAGAGTCAAAGTTTGAAACTTGTGCGTCTCCTTGCACTAGCCTTAGTAAGTATAGCATAGCCTAATATTGTGAAACCCCGAAACAGCCGGTCATTCACCACGAAGATCGAAGTGTTGACAAAGATGTCTGTAGATACTGGCGATTACACCAAGACTTGCAAGTTTGACAGGTGATTTGGGTCCCGACGACCGCTTCCGTCGAAGCTTCGGAGATAACTATTGACACATGTTTGGTTCCACAATGGTTTAGAGGGTGCCCAGTGTATCTTGGCACTTTATGGTGGCGCTGCTTGCAATGCCAAATGTCAACAAGACGTCTAATAAAGTACAGCACGGTATAGTTCTGCTGTGTAGCGCCTGCCAAAATATACTGAGCACATAGTTGTGAACTAACGATAAACTGTGTGATTGTGTAAGGGAATTGATTGGAAATTCTCTTTTAGATAAGTGTAACCAACCTATACTAGTATGTTTTATGGGCAAAGATAAATGAAATGCACTTATACCTACCTACCTTGTGGTACATTCTGCGGCACTTGTTTTAATTATTGTTGTATGTACAGTATTTCTATTTCCATCATTGTATTTCGATAAAGCAAAACGGTCTGGGTCTGGTATCGTTAATTGTGTCCGTGTCGTATACCTACTTACTTATATTGTTATGTATAAGTAAATTAGTTGCATTGAACTTCATAATGAACTCTAGTCAACAGTTGTTTAAGAAAATGCATGCAATTTTGTGATAGATTTTAAGTATTAACTATTTTGCAAGCTAGTTATGTGTTTAGAAGTTGATAATGTAGAGAAATAAGTACCTTCCTAGATGGTCTACGAAGTGGTAAATAAAAGACAAGTTGATTTCATAGTATTATAATCAATTTAATTTTCATTTAGGTATATAATAATTGAATCGAATAAACATTTAGCCAATATCTTCGTTACCTAAGTGGTAATGCTTTAATTGTTCGTGTGAGCCTAGTGACGTAGTTTTACAATAAAACTTATGTTTAACATTAATAAAATATTTACAATATTTGGAAATATCATCACAGCTTCACGAAAACAAGCATAACAGGTGAACAACAAAATAAACTGCCGCATTACAACTATGACGATTCTAAAACTATAAAACAAGAATGTGTGAAACAGCCTCAATCGATAAATGCGTGAATACTGTAATATACGAACTGTTTGGTGTGAACCGATTTACTGGGCACCACGGTGTTACCAGCTATTAAATACAAAGCACAAATGAACCGCGAACATTACCGCCGACCAAGCTATTGTACTTAATAGTCGATGTAGTGTAATCAGCACAATTCGGTTTAATATGGTGGCATCAGTTTCCATTCGAGCTTCCCGCTCCACCCAGCAGCACGGGAGACTAATTCATTATCAGATAATTACGTGACCACTACTACACTAACCGATCTTTGGATTGAGGAAACATTATAACATTTATTTTATAACAAAAGATACATAATACGGAATGTGCGTAACCATTCGGCCGCTGAACACCGACCGATAATAACATTTCAGAAATATCGATACCAGTATACTATGTGCAATATAATATCATTATACCTATGACTCAATACTAATTATACAAATAATGTACATAATTAGAATAACATTGAATACCATTCTATATTCCGACCTCGCTATTATAATTTAAGTGGAACTTTTAATGAGAATATCAATTAATTACATTCTAGCAACAGATTTATACAACTACTGTAAAATATTAAATAAATAAAACCGAGTTTTGAGTTTCTTATGTACAAACTACATAATAGAAATATTGAGATTCCTTCACATAATGTGACGTGTCCTTTGATAGTTAATACATAATATATTATGTAACTACGAACTGTACACAATAAACAATACGATGTGATCGATCAATCAGATAACTTGATTCTACTCTAAACTTATAACGATATCGCATTGAAATATATCTAGTCTACCTTAAGCGAAACTATGATTGGTTTATAATCTACAGTTACTAGTAAAGTCCTCTGAATAATACGAACAGTTTAAAGTAAGGATGACGCGTTGTCATCTTAATACTAACATGGCACTGCACACCATTAAACGATTCGATATCAGTCTTTCGTGTATGCTGCGACGACACAAACACTAAGATCTCTCACATTTTACTAACGTTGAGCATGATCAGATCAGCTCACACCAGCTTCCGTTCGGCCAAAGCGTGCGGGTGTCCGGGATGGGAGTAGTGGCCGGGGGACGATGGCTCGTACAACGACATCTTCAGTCGCTTGCACTTCGCTCGTCGATTCTTGAACCAAAATTGCACATTCTTTGACTCCAGCCGAGGAAATTTCTGCCTGTAAGGCATTCGGTTTAACTCCTCGGTGTATTTAAGTATCAGGTTGTGCGAAGGATGTGTGTTCATTGAGAACCATTGCTCTAGGACAGGAACCTCGGATACGGGGTCGATGAATGTTCGGTTACGTTTGCGACGCTCGTCGGAAGCTCCTGCGAGTGCCAGATTGAGGCCACTGGCACCTTCTCCAGGGACTGCACCAACACCAGGAAAGCCACTCATGTACTGGCTCATGTACATGATGCCGTGGCCGAACATTGGATGGTTTGGCACCATGGGAAATGGCAGACGGTCAAGATGCGGAGAAGACGGCCTGTAATGTCGCTCCTGGATGACATCTTCATCAGAGCCATCATGGTCTTCACCAACGCCATTCTCATCCTCATTGTTGTTATTGTTGCTGCTATTGTTGTTATGCGAGCTGTCGCTATTCTTAGCAGGAGAACGTTGAGGAGAGACTGCATTGTCAGGCTTGCTCAAATCTCTCGGCTCTTGTTTTATGTCATGCACCTGCAATATTAAAAAATATTAGGCGACTATTCACAGTGATCGGTTGTGAATTCTCATAAACGATAGGTGGAGTTGTTGATGAGTAAAATAATGGCTTACCTTAATTATATCTGGTGGCTTTGGCGACTCTTCGGGTCTGTCATCTGTCTCATGATCATTATTTTTCTTAGTTGTTATCAAAGAGAGAGGCGCGTCTGGGCTCTCGGGCCTATCATCGGGATTTAAATCAGCACCATCATCTTCCATATCGGAGCCCCCATTGGATAAATTATCTTCAGACATAACAGACATCGGGTATCGACCAGGACTCCCGGATAATAAGGGACTCTTCATTGAGTTGTGGTCTTGAGATCCATAGGTGTCACTACCAGCCATCAATGAGCCATTAGTCGGGCTGTGACTTCTGCTATTGAAACCGTTCACTCCTAGATGACAGCCCAATCCACCGATATTTCGAAGCTCCGCGCGTTTCTGCGCAGCACGCGCGTTCTTAAACCAGTAAACAACGTTGTTGACATCAAGGGGCTTACGTCCTCGCCTCGATTCCAAGTTGTTTAGCTCTCGGACATACTGTTGTATTTGCTGTCTACTCGGATGTTGATTTTCAGAAAACCAACGCTGTAATTTAGGCAGCTCTAACTCAGGATCAAAACTTGTCCGCATTCTAGTCTTTTGTGTTGGATATTGACTTTGTACAGTCTGTAAGGCTGGATGTAAGTGATCTGGAATCGTGTTCAGCGTTGGCGATCGAGTTTTAGGACCAGGTGATGGATATCGACGGGGACTGAATGGTGGTGGTCTCGGCGATACCTGCGCGCTCCACCAAGATTCAAATTTACGTCTCATTTCTTCAGATGGCTCATATAAGTTGTGTGGCCCGGGAGCACGTTCCTGACCACGACAAATCTGAGCTAAAGTTATCTGTAACAAGAGGAAATACTTAAATACAAGGGTCACCAGACATAACAAGAAGTCTAAATAAAACAACAAGATACCGCAAACAATTTTAGAAGATTTTAAAGAGGTCAGTCTAACCAGCAACAGATACAGAGATAATTGTTTGAATAAACACGAAGCATTGTTTCACAGAACATCGCCATTAGATTATGAAAATATTAGGTCGGCTGTTAATGCATGTGTCATGCGCGAGCGGTCGGCTGGCTTCTAACGCACTCGGCGCTCGAGGTGTTTACTCGGTGGTTAGTGCGCATCACTCTCGCGCGCCGACGAAACTTCAATCATGGTCTGCTCTAAAACAATGAGCGGGAAGGGCGTCTCAACAATTAGCATCCACCCACTACGCCCTCAACTAGACGCCGGCACACGGCCCGGACTAAGTGCTCGGCTGCATCGTTACCACCGACTCCGCTAAACAAACCACCCGAATGTTTCAAGCCGATCCTATGCCGCTGTTTGAGCATCCAATCAACCGTGTGACTGGAATGATTCCAAAGCGATGTTTAAATTTCACAACTATTTGTTCAGTGTGATAAGAGCAGTGCATGTTTAGAGAGGTATTAATCGCGCAGCAAGTAGTCAATCATAAAGAACTTGTCAGATTATAGCTGCGTCGCGCAGTTTACCCAGCTTGACAGTTATGCAAGTGAGATCTGCTCGTATCGCTAGATTACATAGAACAATGCCAGTGATTACGTCGTCACCCGAGTTGTCAGGCCACACGGGGCCGGCCGCCTGCTCTGGCGTGTTGCTAAATCAGACGTTAAATTAACAGTAAGTATTACACATCGAGATTGTGCCTATAAATCATGTCAGAGGTATTAGCGCCGTGCTCGAGTGATACGTTAATCCGCTTCTTTGTTTTATATTTTTAAATAGTGAGGCCATATTTGCTTTCAGATATTGTCTGTTTCAGCTTCGTGGAAGATTTACAAGAGCTGGCGCCTGCGCGTGATAACTCGCGTCACGTGTAATCCGCCTAAGTACGTAATTCGGTGTGTGATTGCGAACATTTCTTGATGTACTCGTAGTTAAAAGGACAACTTTGAACACAATAGGCTTAGTGTTATCTTGTATTATTTTCGTTGTGTGTACATACGCTACTTACGCACGCCTCAAGGAGTGATTAAATTGTAACCCGTTACAAAGAACCTTGAAATTTCAAAGAGATTTCGAAATTAAGTAAGAAAGTAGTCTTAAAGAAGATTTATGGTTTAAAATTGATCCTGCATCGAGGTGGTACTCGGGAAACCCCTTCGATAAAATATTCCGCGAGCGTCTAAAAGTTTGCTCCAAGTTAAAATCGAAGTGGCGCAAATTGGCGTGAGATAAATTACCATAATATCATAGAGCCGAGTTCATCTGGCGTTTAGCTAACAACTTGAAGGTGTTTGATTATCTTGCCGGTCGGAGTTCCTTTGCTTCATTTGCGATAACTTTGCCTCGACTTTACAACTTAGTTTTGTTTTTCGCTATCTATCGAGCACTGTATATTCACGATCTGTAAAATATCATTCGAAGCTGAAAGTGTAGTAACAAATTGTGTCAACCACTACACGATGTCACTGCGAATTCTAAATTGAAATATAGGTCCCTGAGCCGGTTATGGTTAGCGAGGGCGCGCATGGAGCGCTAACCTCGCGTTTAATAAGATTATAAAGCATTATTTTATGGTATTAATAAGATCAAAAGCGTTCGTACATCTAAAACTCCTTTTAACCCTCTTTCGGTGTGGCTCAAGTTGGCAAGACGAGGGCAACCCCCGCCCGCCGCCCTAACCCGTTCGCTACAAGGTGGATATTTAGAAAATATAATAAGGCCTCGCGAGGCGCGGATGAGACGGAGATTCAATTAAATTTATTATGTATGGAGATCTCGCGTATGAGACAGGTGCTCATCACGTCGACAAATTGTTCTCTATCGTAAGCAAAGAGCTTTAAATCTCTTTACAACCTTAGTGAGGCGATGGACGCGTTCTAAATATTACTTTATATGTATGTATAAAGGTCTTTTAACACTTGATTACACATTTAACTTATTCACAAAAAAATCTATTAAACGAATTGAATAACTTATAAAACTTTGAATTATTCAATACTCCAATCCAAAAAATAAGGCCAGTCCACTCAAAATAAATCGAGCAATCGAAACTACATGGACACTTCACCAAAATGAAAGAGTTGTCTAACAATATTATAACAAACAATAACAACAAGATAATTACGTAATTAACACAGTAATCACTCAAAGTGCGACATGGTGAAATGTACAAACTCATTGTTGAGACTTGCGAACAAGAAAACAAATGTTGCCTTAATTCTTCCCCCAACGATGATCCCTATTAGGAGGGTCTTAGCAGTTACCTCGCAATTATAAAGACCAAAATTATAGAACGCTACTTAGCGAAGAGTTTTCGATAATCTGTCTTTTCGTCTTTCATCTTGAGACATCGTTAATTTTCGTCGATAATATCGAACGGTATTTTTGGTTGAATCTGTACTAATATTAGAAGATAAACGTTTATATGTATGTTGGAATGTTTGTCGTTCAATCCCACCCAAACGACGAATGAAGTTTGGTATTTTTTTTAAGGGGGGGAAATCATCGAATGACTGCTTCTGCCTGGGTGAGGCGGGAGGGAGTCTCAGACTCTTACTGACTAAAAACCACCCCGTTCCTTCTCCTGCGCTTCGAGCCGGAGCCCCGGTAACCCGTTAGGTTCTCCGCGACATTGAATTTTGGTATAAGGATATACTAAAGGCTTTGGATAATCTGCAGACTATAAAGCTCATAACTTTATAATAACGATCACTAAGATATGTTTTTCTTTCCAAACTGTATGATTTAATATTAAATTTGCCTTGAAGCAGTGTGCATTTGTAATATTATGTGTGTTATTTTGGCAAATAAAAACCATTTGGCGAGCCACAAGATTTGATAGGGCTGTCCTTATCATTAGCGTTATGTGTTATGAAATAATTGTCTTTTATGTGTTTCCCTTATTACACTTTAAAATGATTATTCAATTAATTTTTATTTAAATAAGGCATCCAGTCATTTAGGTAAATGACTAATAAGTACTATACTACATATATTAGGACTAGTAGGTACTAGTACACCTTTAAAACTGACAAAAAATATAACACAATTTTGTAACGAAATTAAAAAAAATCTCTAAACAATTGATTTAAAATTCGAACAAAAGCAGGTAAAACAAAATGGAACTCTAAATAAATACATTCAAAATTCGATTAAAAGCAGCCAATAACGTAACAGCACTGGCCACAATAACCCAATCACGGATCTTAAGCACTCAATCTTTAATTAAATCGTTAAAACAAACAATTCTCTTACGTACTAGGATAAATGTTTTCAATTGAAAGCGTGGCTTGCAAAGCGGGCTTAAAATATAGAAAACAATGAATTTCCACGTTAATAAGGGGTAACGAGTAACCCCTGAAGGGGTAAAGGTTTAGTTTGAGGGTTATTTATTGTTCGCAGGGTAAACCGGGAACATGGAGTTGTATTGTGGATGTTGGTTTAGCTCGGTGTACCGTGCAGACATTGTCACCCATCAGGATGATTTTAACGCCCGAACCGGTTGATGTAATTTGATTTGACAGATGTTTTCAGAAGCTTTGCCGTTTGTACGTTGTGGTAGATAGATTATGACGAATGTTATTTGTGGTGGTTTTTAATCTTTTTTTTTGTATTGGGTTTATTGTTGAAACAGTTGCATATGTATTATACTGGCAGATAAAGACGTGTTGAATTAACTCACGTGTATATGATGAGTTAAGATACTTAATATTGAGTGATCACGCCGAAAATTACGGAAAAATTTTCTTTCATTATGAATTTAATGATAATAATAGACCTCTCTTTCTCCAGTAGCTAATTAGACTGACATTCTATAAATACACGAAAAATATATACGAATATAATTTTGTATCTTTGCTTACCTCGTCCAAAGGACATCCAGTAGACATAAGCAACGGTCTACTCTGTACCAGCAGAAGTCTCAGAAGTTTATCTTTAATGTCCTGAAGAGGAGTGGGCCTTGGTCTGAGGAGTTGGATCCGAAGAGTGGCCACTGTTGACAACTCTCCGAGGACCTCACCGACCGTGGCTGTAGGAACATCAGAAATCCTTTCGAAAGGCAATGGCTTCCAGTTGTTAATGACTACTGATCCTGTTAACAATAGAAAAAGGTTTTGTTAAAATTATGTTTTTGGTATCAGCTGTGTGACAAGAGTGGAATACATTTGTCTTATTCTTCTACCCTACTCTTATCTTACGTCTCGTAATATTCTATTCATATTATTCATATTCATTTATTTGCATACCATAAAGTGAATAAGGTGCTACAATACGCTTAACGCTAAGTTACATTTATGGACCCCGTAAGCGCACAGCAACATTTGATAAATTAAGTTAACTTTTTAAAAATAAAGTTGACTATGAAGGTACTAGCGTGGTGATTAATGCTCTAACCTTCTCCGTGTGAGAAGAGGCTTTGCTCAGCAGTGGGCATTTATAGGCTGTTGATGATGATGAAGGTACTAGAAACGAATAGAAGCATCCTCTGGTAAACCTAATCATTTTAACCTGCAATCTCCAACCCGCTTGCGAAGCGTAGAGGTTTTAGCAAACGCCTCTTTTGTTGAGCCTGACCCATAGTCTATAAGTGAACTCATGGACTGATAATAATGTTTTGTATGTACAGATAAAATGTGTATTCCACTTAAAGTAGATATTTTAAGCAAACTGACCTTTGGCAGAAGCAGCCAATTCATGAGAGTAACCCAAACGTATCAGGGCGGTGGGCACCAGCTCATAAAATGGGGTTGGTACAGGAATGATGACGTAGCTGTCAGTCTCCACCACAGCCCTGCGTCTCCATGCACCTTCTTCCAGCGAAGATACTACTTCCACCACGCAGTGGACCGGCACTGTTTTCACTAGGAAGAAAAAGAACAATTATAAATAATTTTGTTATACACATAATTATGTGGTAATTACTTAGACATTATTTACTTATACACATTTCTATTAGTTGACCATCAGTGGCATTCTGATGGATGAATTCAAAAGAGAACACTACTGCTGTATGGCACGTATAGCTGAATCATCATTAATTTTATTAAATCAGATTTTCAATGTGTGTTACTTAGTACGTGATGGTTTTAAATACATATCTTATCGGTTTTAACTTAAAACTAACCTAATCTTTGCATTCCATTCATGATGAACGTCACAATACGTAACAATATACTTACTAAACTGTATTTGTAAAAACTTGTAAATTAAATATTATTTATTAATTTATTAGTAATTAGAGGGAAACAAGTAAGAGAAGAAATAAAACTAAAAGTCTAACTACGACTCTACGGACTAGGAAACCACTGCAAAAAATACTTAATGGAAAAATCTTTTGCAAGACGGTGTTCCTCTGAAAAATCACCTACTTAGTATCTTGAACGTCGAAACGCTGTCGCTAAGAAGGCGTCTTAATTATTTAGCAACTTTTCAAGCGAGAAAGCAATGCTTTTGACTTGCTCGCGGACGCGGCAAAAAACCTACTGAAATGTTAAAATAATAATTAATCCTTGTTGAAGGAACGGCCGACGGGAGCCCAACGCTTTGTACCGTTGCTTTGTAGCGATATTAAATAGTTTTTGCTGCTTCGATGCGCTTTTTTATAGCCTGGCGTTTAATAGCCTGGCGCGCTTTAATAGAAATCTGTCGTACTTTTCTTTTATGAGGAAATGTTTAGCAATGATTTTTAACTATTGCAGTTCATATACTCATCTGTTTATTCATTTAGATACCTACTACAGGTAAACAATCCCAAAACATCCCCATATTCAATATTATTACGTTGAATACTGATTTAGTGTATCAGTTGAAAACAATAGACGTCTTTGAGCGCGCAGTTATTGAATTTACATAATACTATTCCGGGATTTTGTTCGCAAAACATAGTGGGTATAGTTACAATGAAATTATAAATTTCTCGCCGCAATAATCTTTTAATAACAGGGTGGAGGTGCGTTAAGCTGTTAGTCTTCGGGTTATGTACTTCTGAATAGGTGTTTCAGTTTTAGTAATCGCCAAACTAAAACTAACTTTGGATTGTTTTCGTTTGAAACTTCTTTGGGATATGTTAAGGTAGATAAAGTGTGTAATATATATTGATTTGTTTATTAATTACAAATTGATGAAGATAGGAATGACATTCTATTTGAAACCCATGTTAATTATTTGCTACATTTTAAGTTTAATTATGTTCATATACAGACGTATAATACTAAATAATAATGTTATAAATGAGACAATTAATGAAGTTGTATTTATGGACATTTGTTGCTCTTTCAGATATGTATATGCATTTCTGGATAGTATTTTTCCTACAAAAGTATTAGGTACGTTTATATAAAAGTTCAGGTAGCCAACCCTAAAATTTTGGAAGGTAGTTACAGGTTAGCACCTAGGCTGCGATTTAATGCCAAGCTTGGATTAGGTGAGGTTTAGTTGCGGGCCACCCGCCGCCCGAGACGGTCCTCTGGTCAGTTTAAACCCTTGCTTTATGAAACTATATACGTGGAATTGAATATTAATTAAATGCGATAGGTGGGAACATATTTTGGGTACCTCTAGAGGTTCCCAAAATAAACATCTAGATGTTTGTTTACGAATTATGCAGGGTATTTTCGGATTGTTTGTTTGCTAGGGTGATGATACTCCATAGGTATTAAGAATCAACATTTTCACTTCTCACATATAAATGATTGTCGTACCTACGCAAAAATGCAATAATACTAATGCTATAAACTTGTGCGGCGTCTGGCAGAAGTATAACATTTATACATATATACAATTTTTTCTTATCTCGCCGAGGAAAATTACTTAAAATTATCTAAATAGTATAAAACAGACAATAGCAAAGAAAATGTAATCCTATCAAGGATAAACGTGATTTACTAATGAACAGGTTTATTCTAGCATTATAATCTTTAATATAAGTAGAATAAGGATAGTATTAGACAATTCTACAATTAAGCCTTGTAGTATACGACATAATACTTGGTTCAATGTTAAGCCGAGTGGAGACTACTTGAAAAGAGTTCCGTACACAAGCACTAGATGTCGGCTTTTGTAAGTAGTGAATTAAAACTTCGTACTAAAGGGAATTAGCCCATGCTGTAGTGTAGTCCCAGCCTTAATAATACTACACTCGTACTCGTATTATTGGAGAACAATGACCTGGAGTGGATCGTGTTTTGTTTTGTTTTTTTTTTATTCTGAAATGTAAGGGTACTGCAATTTTTACTTTGATAATTGCCATTTAAACTTCGGCATTTACATTAATTAAACAAGTATATAGCTACATTAAAACATTATTTAATGAAATTAAAACTGGTACGCAATAAAACGTCTATGAAACGTCGTCTCAAAATTCACAGAAGTCACTGTTACAATCTGAAAACACTCATAGTTCTAACTAAACTTTAAGTAAAAATAAGTGGTATTAAGTAAGTATATCTGCTACATCTGCTAAAGGATTTTCTTTCCAGAATTCAAAAAAAAAAACAGCACTCCGAAAATCAGAATTTTAACAAATGCCATTTAGAAAATCCGCCGAGTAATGGTGCGTGACGTCACTAACATCTAACTGTTCGCACCTGTCTGAATGGATGTAGGGGCTTAAACAGATATGTTCTGAATCAAATTCACCGCCTTTACGAAATACACGCACCCTTAACTTGAAAACATTGATATAAAGCCACTAGATACACTGAGCGCAGTTTGTAAGCTATGCTGAGCGTAGTCTGAACAAAATTTTTTGTTTTTCCACCTCAGATGTTTAATCTATCATAATAAATCTGTGTTCTTTGCCGATAGTAATTTGCATAAATAATTATCGAGTTATAGTTTGTAGGTCCTTTGAGCATCTATTCAAATGTCTGTCAAATGTTAAGATTCATGAACCATCACAGAAACTAATAAAAGAAACACATTAAAAGATAAAGTTTGAATTAATGAGAACTACGAGGTTATAAAGACAATGCCTTACTTTGATGACTTAATTCAGTTTTATCTTATAGTTTAAATTGCTAATGAAAATATTGTTTTTATAGTTTAATTTAAGAATTATCTTTGATTTTTCATAGCTTTTGTTCAGTTTTGTTCATTAAAATTTAAAAATGCTTGCTGAGTAGTACGATGTTGGTTTTTAATCAAGGTATGCTGTCTTGTGTAGGTAACAAGGTGCTATACCACCGCGATTAATAGTCAAATAGTTAGGCAGACAAATTTTTACCGCTTATAATTTTGACCTAAAGCTGTGTAAAGTCTGTATGTTTACTGTTTATTTATTATTAATGTACACACATACTACACAAAGGACAAAACATATTTATAAACGAAGTAATACATAGATCCCACATATTTGAACAAAAATTTCTTCCTATGGGCCTGTGGCAGGAAAGGAAAGTATGACACCGAGACACAGTGCGATACATAGTTTGTTACTTTTTAAATAGTAAACGAGGCACTTCCAGTTTTGTATGTCATGTGACAGCATTAACAATGAACTGTGAGCGACGTATACTTACTCGGGAGTTAGCATAAGTATTTTGTTAAAAGTGTCATCCAAACCCTGCTACTCTGGATTCTTAATTGATTCTCGTTAACATGTCGGGTCTTATCTGTACTTGTTTTATAAACTTTCGGAGATTTTTTGAATGCTTTCAGTTTAGTCATCATCATCATCAACAGCCTATAAGTGGCCAATACTGGCCAAAGGCCTCTTCTCACACGGAAAAGGTTTGAGCATTAATCACCACGCTTGCTCAATGTGGATTGACGATATTATTATAAATAAGCCACGATGTCTCCTTCACCGTTGGTCAGTGGTGTCAAAATAATCTTAGAAAGTACATTATTATAACTCGGAAAAAGTCACATTGGTACTTGTAGGTTGGTAGGTTTAAAACCCGCAACCTCATGCATGAGAAGCGGCGTTAAACCTCCGGGCCACCTCGACAATGATTTCAGTTTAGTACCAACATTTTTTATTAAGTATCACAAACTTAACTACTTAACTACCAACGCGGTCAATATTGACCAAAGCTAGTGGAGAATTTGCTTTCAACAGTTCTCTGACGACAGTAAAACTTTTAAAGAAACTATACCTTTTTGTTAATACCTCGGCCTTCTTTTGCTTTCGAATATAAAAATACCTTCGCTGAAGTAGCCAGAAGCTAGTAATAAATATATGATTCTAGTTCACATATTCCATACATTTTTGCTTCAACCAAAGCCTCATTATAAACACGGACACCACACACAATAACACACCTAATTATAACGCAACGTAACTACCATATTCGCGTGTTGATCGAATGCATTCGTGAGCGATGATCTGTTTAGTTCGGATAAGTCGTGGCGTGTGAGATGATGAAACCCTGCAAATACCGTGTCATGCCACCAAGTACTGCGCATTGTCAGTGTAAAACATGATAATTATGTTCACTGATACTGTGATATGGTGGATTGCATGTGTTTTATTTTCATTTTTATTGGTACTGGTGATGATTGTCATCGATGCGATGTTGTTTGCGCTGCCATACGTGCTGCGTGCTCAAGTTATACAGTTTTTATGTCGGGAAAATTGTAAAGAGTATGTGCATATATGAACTAGTTAGAAATGAATATTGAAGGAACTTTTATTTACACTTTAGTGTGTAACAGAGACAATACGAAAAGAGGATTAACACAGGAAAATCAGGTCAATTTCTTCTTTTTCTTTTCTGTTTAAATTCTAGATAGAATTTGCTAAATCACTATTATTATGTAAGTAACTAAACTTTATAAAACAATTAGATACAAACATCCAACCAAAAAAGGTTTTTCAAAATTGAATAGAACTGAAACATCAACTCAAAAATTAAGTTTA